CCTCAGAAACCCTGTACAGGGTAGCTATGGGTCGGAACCGACTCGACGGCACTTAACAACAACATCTATATGGGACCAACTGGAAAGATTAGATAGGAACCTTAGGGTGTGGTGGGCTTATGTAAACAAGGGAGGAACAACTCAGAAAGGGTAAAAGTGGTGGCACACCTTACAGAATATAATCAGTGTCACTAAATGGGACATGTTGGTGCTGCTAAGTGTTGTCGAGTTAGTTCCGACCCATAGCGACTCTGTATACGGTTTCTGAGGAGCAGCTGGTGAGAAACCGACTTTGCAGTCTAGCGCATTACCTCACAGTGACACACCAGGACTCCAAAATGGGATACATCGGAACTCTTAAATTGGTTTATGTTTTGCTGTGCATATTTTCAATAGCAACAAAATAACTAAAACTTAACAAAAAAATGCAGGCAGCAAAATGTAAAAGCTTTCCAATTCCGGATTAAGAATTTGAAATCTGAGTCCTGATCTCAGTTGAAAATTATTAGTCATGGGATCTTTGGCAATTCACTCAACTACTCTGAACTTCTGTTTCTTCATCTGTAAAATGGGGCCAATCAAGCTTTCCTTGATTAACCCCAGGAGTTAGGTTCAAACAAGATAATACCCTTGACAGTTTTGTAAACTGCAAAAATATATGTTACAGGGATTAGTATAATCATAGGAAGGGAACCCTGAGAGAATCCCAGTAAATATCCAAGAGCTGTTGGCTTTAAGTATCTCAAAGTGAATACAACTGTGATAATTCTCGTGCTCAACATACTATGACATTTCTGGGTCTGCTTATTTTCAGTAGCAGGTTGGTAAATGAGTTACATGGTTGATAAACTGCTCTGCATTGACAATGATCTGGATGTTTGCACAAATCTGTGACCCTGGTCCCCACCTACTTGTTCATATACCCAAATATCCATCTGCTGCATTACCTAAATGTTAACTCTTTTCTGTATTTTGGCTGTTCCTATTAGTCTGGAAAGATGTGGTCTTGGCTTAAGACTGGGAATGTTGTTGTTGTTAAGTGCTACTGAGTCGATTCTGACCCATAAAAACTCTGTATAGGGTTTGAACGGCCCATAGCAACTCTGTATAGGGTTTGAATGGCCGATCTTGGGGTTCACACTGACCTTACCGACCACTGTATTATCCTGTAGCGCCACACAAAGACTGCTAAAAGTCAGTATTAATCAATGAATTGTCATATTTTATAAAGGATATTAAAAGTTGGTGAACTACAGTAACACTCTATACTTAAATTCATTAAGGATACACTGTTGTTTTCTGTTAGAGGCCAGAATTAACAAAGAGGTAAATTTCACCTTTAAGGAAAAAAAACCACATAAATCCTCAACCAAACAGGAGACACCAGGTAGCTAGTGCACGGCTTTTAGCACGTCTAATTATGTAACTAAGGAGCTCTGGTAGCGTAGTGGTTACGAATCGGGCTGCGAACCTTAAGGTCAGCGGTTCAAAACTACCAGCCGCTCCGCGGGAGAAAGATGAGACTTTCTATTCCTGTAAAGATTTACACCCTCGGAAACCCTGTACAGGGTCGCTATGGGTCGGAACCGACTCGACGGCACGTAACAACAACAATTATGTAACTAAATGTGGACTGAAGCAAGGCCAGGGATGTCCTTGGATAACAGTTCCCTTTAAACACATAATAGGGCTGAAAGGAGCTCTGGTAGCGTAGTGATTTGTAGTGGTTACAAATCGGGGCTGCTAATCTCATGGCCAGCAGCTCTAAACTACCAGCTGTTCCGCAAAAGGAAGAGGAAGCTTTCTGCTCCTGTAGATTTAGGAAACCCTATTCAGGGTGGTCGCTATGAGTCGGAACCGACTCCACAGCACATAACAACAACAACATAATACTGCTGGAGTCCGGGTGTGGCGCTGCAGGTTAATGCGTTGGACTGCAAAGTCGGTTTGAACCGAAAAGTAGGCAGTTCAAGTTCACCAGCTACTCTTATACAGGATCCCTATGGGTAGGAGCAGACTCAACAGCACTTAACATCAACAACATAATAGTGCTGCAAGCAATGGTAACACCTCCCATTCATGTTAGTTTAAGCTCTTTACAAGGTTATTTCGCTGGTCTTCTGTGCAGAGCCAGCATGATCTCATTTTGACAAATGAGGGCCCCTGTGGTTCCAAAGAAGTTGAGTGAGTGGCCTTTTTGGTGCTGCAAAGCTGGACGCCCACAAGATTTCATCTGTAAGCAGTAAAATCTGGAGTACCTTCATGTGGGGCACTAATGTGTGAGTGAGCAAGAGATCAAAATGGGAATTAAGACCTAAAAAGGGATGGGTGTGTGTGTACCTGTCAGAGGAGGTGTGGCTTTCTCTGCACGAGGGAAAACCAGAGGTTAAGTAAAAGTGACCACAAAAAAAAGAATGTTCCCAGAAGGGAGAGTTAGGACAGAAATCCAGAGTAGGGGCAAAAGAGCACGAAATTACTGCAGAAGCAGGAACCTTGGCCCTCTACTCCCACAGCTGGAGGAAGGATAGCTAAAGTCAGGAGGTGAGGAGGTGTCATCATGGCCAGAGACAGCTGGCAGGGGAGAGGAGCAGGTGATCTGGCGCTGGGAGGTTCGGGAGGTAGTGGTTCGGTCAGGCACAGGCGTCCCCCGGACCCTCCCCTGCGCCGGCCCGGGACGTACTGTTGTCCTCCGCCTCCTGCGGTGCCGAGGGTTTGCCCATCTTCACCCAGAGGATGCCCAGGAAAACGAGCAGCAGCCCCAGGCTGGCCCAGAGCAGGAGTCGAGACAGGCAGCGCTCCAGCCGTCGCCCCACCTCGGGCCGGGACTTCGTCGTAGGAACCGCTCGCGTCGTCCGCAGGCCCGGGCGCGGGTCGGGGCCGAAGAGGGAGGAGGACGGCCTCGCGGGAGTCGGGGACGCGGACCACCAGCGACGGACCCCGAGGCCTGGACCCGGAGCGGCCCTGTTAGGTAGCCGGGCATCGTCGTCGTCCTCGGAGCTGCCCCGGGTCGAGGTGCGGCGCCTGAGCTGCGCGGAGCGGGCGGAGTAGGCAAGGCCGCGGCTCCCAGGCCAAGAGGAAGCCGTGGAGGCCCCCAAATCGCCATAGGCCCCAGAGGTGGCGTAGACTGAGCCCGAGGCCGGCTGGGAGATCCAGGGCTCCACCCGTGGAGAGGACGCAGCGGGCCGGGCGCGCAGCGGCGCCTCCTCGCGCAGCCAGGCCTCCTCCCGCAGCCGCTCCTCGCCCCGTGGCCGGGCCTCCTCCCGCAGCCGCTCTTCGCTTCGCTGCCGGGCCTCGCCCCGCAGACGGCGCAGCTTGTTGCGGTATACGTCTCGGGTGGTGTCGGTGATGGGTCCTGGCTGGAAGCCCAAGGCCTGCAGCTCCCGCCGCAGCTCCAGGTCCGACAGGCCAGCCATGGCCCGGACGCCGCCCCCCGCCCGCCCCTGGCGCGCACCGCACCCGGAACTGCTCCTGCCGGCTGCCACGGTGGAGCGGGCGGGGCCCAGCGCCATGATGGGAAGGTCGTACTGTCCGCCATTTTGAGAAGGTCGAAGTCTGCGCAACTGGCCCGCCATGATGAGGAGGTCCTAGTTGGTCATTAGGATCCGCCACCTTGGGGAGGTCGGAGAGGATTCTTTTTTTTTTTCATTTCTTGCTCCGCCCTTTGCCGTGTCTGGTACACAACGCGGTGTTTATCGCCGATTTCCCAGGCTTATAGAGTGATTACTGACACGTGGTTGTTGTTGTGAAGTGTCGTCCAGTCGGTTCCAACCCATGGCTTTATGTGCGGTGGAGTCGGTTCCGACTCATAGCGACCCTGTATAGGGTTTCCAAGGCTGTAAATCTTTACCGGAGCAGAAAGCCTCTTCTTTCTCCCGCGGAACAGCTGGTAGTTTCCAACTGATGACCCAGAGGTTAGCAGCCCGATTCGTAACCACTACGCTACCAGAGCTCCTTTCCAACCCATAGCGACCCTGTATAGGGTTTCCGAGGAGCATCTTGTGAGCTTGAACCGCCGACCTTGCAGTTCAAACGCTTTGCAGTCTGCTGCATTAACCCACAGCGCCACACTCGTGGCGTCGACTTGATGAATTAGTTAAAGGTGAAAGACGAATGGGGAGACAGATCATTCGCCTCCCTTTCTGTGCTTGGAGATCCTTGTGTGATGGCTTGTGTACCCAGGAAAGGGCCTTGTTTGTTCATGGAGTAGACCCCAGCCCCTGCCCCTACTTTGGGGGACCAGCCGCCCTGCCCCTATGTTATTCTCACTTGCCAGATATTGAACATCAGGTGGGTGCGGGCCCTTCCTGACCACTGGCAATGGCCTTGTAGACGCTCCAGGCTGGAAGGAGCCTCCGTTTTCATATAGCCATAGTGGAGGCATAGAGCAATTGCCTGTGGACTCAAGTGGGCTGTTTGCGAGGAAGTCGTGTGACTGGATAGTGAGATTTTCACTGAGAGAGATGGGTAGGAGAAGACCCCCAAGACACACAGTCATATTGCTATTACCTGTGGCTTCGGATGGAAGCTCTGGAACCAGACAGTTTGACTTTGACTCTATAACTTTCACCTCTATTAGATATGCAGTCACATCCAATGAACATTTCTAGTTCCCAATAAACTTTAAAGAGTTGTTGGGAGAATTAGAAGAGGCCATTTGTGTAAGGTGCCTGGCACATGCTCACAGATTTTATACTTAACCTATGCCTTTTCAGTGCTGTTTCGTTCTGTTGTACATAGGGTTGCTGTGAACGACTGATTCGACCCAACCCAACCCAACTGTCTTTGCAGCAGTGGTAGGGCTGTGTGGAGTCTCCCACAGGGCACTCCATTTCCTTACACAAAGGGAAGCGTGGAGAGTGACTGCAGAAGGACTCAGACAATAGTATACCTTAGTTACTCCTCACTTATCTACCATCTCGTTATCTGACATTTCACATTTATGTCAAAAGTGAAAAGAACTATCAGCCTGTTTTTTGCAGTAACAAATGCTGAGGGGCAAAGCAAGAAGAATGTTGGCTGTGATGATTAAGGTTATGGGTCAATTTAGTTGGGCCATGGGTCTCAGTGGCTTGACAGTTATGCAATGATGTAGTCAACTTCCATCTTTGATTTTTGCGTAATGATCTAGTCTTTGGAACCTAACCACGTGGACAAGGGAAGAGTCTTCTTTCTACCTCCCTCCTCCCCTTAGTATTCCTGCCACATCCCTCATCAACTCCCTTTGCCAAACATTTATTGTAGGTTGCAGTCTGTTTCTATCCATCTCAATCAGTTCTCCTTCCTATCTGGGATCTCCCTGTAGCTCTCCCCCTAGAGTGTCTCCCATTTGTTCCCTATCTTTCTCTCCCTGGGTGCCTGGGCAGGGACTCACTGCCAGTGTTCTGCATTCCTGCCACTAGCTCTAACTCAGGAGTATTCAACACTGGTCACAATTTCTGGGAAAATTACAGCCTCGACTTAGTCCGTCTTGGTTGTTAGCCTCCCCATCTCCCCCGGCTTAGCTGCTCCCATGTGGTGCGATTTCTCTTACCAAGTGTTGTTTTCCTTTTCTCTGCCTGTGTTTGCACGGAATGCCATGAATTTGATATAGTGATTGCCTAACACATATACCACATAATAGTATTTTATTTCTTTCTGAAGCACTGTTTGCATGACAAATGAGTTGGTAACATTTGTGCAACTCCTTGCAGCTGTGCAGTTCAATATATAAAGAATGAGCCTTTCGGCATCAATACTAGCCTGTGTATTCTAAGAGGGCTTGAAACTGACGTTTAAACAAAGTTAATGGCACAGCATTTCACAGAGTTATGGCCTATTTCATCACAGTGGATCTCAGGGCAGTTTGGAAACGCGTACCGAACTAGAGCCACCCCCAGTGGTGGTCCGCAGTGAAGACCACCTGTCAGCCTTCTTTGTGTTAGAAGCACTGCCGCTGCCACATAGACTTGGGGCCACAGCCTTCTTCCCTCTTTAACTCTGCTATCTTCTCTTTAACCTATTGTTAGTTGCCATTGATTTGATTCTAACTCGTACTGAAACCATCAGGTTTTCTAGGCTAAAATTTTCACAGGATGAGAGCTTTCTTCCATGGAGATGCTAGGTGGGATTGAACTCCCAACCTTTCATTTAGTAGCCAAGCACTTAACCATTGCACCAATAGAGCTCTTTCCCCTCTAACCTAGAGCTTATCATGTTTGCAGCAGTGACCTTTTGCTAACCAGGTGATCCAGACCCAGCTTCTAATCTCCATAGTGGCTTTTGGCAGTCGATGACCCTGTCTTTGGTGTAGCATACTAACAGGCACCCAGGCAATGCCAACCACTTTGGTGAATTTGCTGATGAATGCGTCTCTGTCCCACCCCACTACATTGGTTACCGATACTTCAGAAAAGAAACCTTATTAGTCATTTATTCCTCCCAGGTCTCAGTCCTTTCCATGAACTAACTCCTGGCTCTAGTCCGGCCACTTCCATAGATTTATAATCCCTGTTTGGTCCTCCATCAGTAATCTCCATCCCAATGGCCCTCTTATCCATTGTATTGAAGTCTTCTCAGTACTTTTTACTTTCCCCAACACTTTCTTCAGTGACCCTTTTCGCTTCCTTTCTGAAGGGCTTAACATCAGTACATCTTTGCCCCTGCTATGGCTAGTCAGGAGCTGCCCACGAGACTCTTCTGGGGCTCGGAGTGTGCCTTTCTGTGTCTTCTCTGTGGTTCTTACACTGGGCCTGTGGACAAAGGGAGCACGTATTTTAAAGAAAAGAGAAATCTTGCAAAGCCAGTGGCTACCCTGCATGCCCTCCTTCTCATCACTCTGTTGTGGGTGTTTTTTTTCTTTTTTTTTTTTTAGGTGAACAGTTTAGGTTGCAGCCGATCTTCCTGATTTATTAAAGACGAAAGAGGGAAAACAAGCTTCCGTGTATAAATCTACTTAGTAACCACATCCACACAGTTAGTAGAGGTGAGGGGTTGCTGGGAGGATACTCTGAATTCCTGAAGGGACACCATGTGGTCTTCCATCTTGCTGACCTCTCTCTGTGTCCGCACAGCCTTATAATAATATAACGCCCATAAATCTTTTAGTGGCTCCATCCTCCTCCTCCTCCTGCAAAAAGCCCTGCATACATTTATTAGGCCCTCAAAGATGCTCAGGGACCATGGACTCGTCCTTGATCCACCCCATCACGGGCCTCGTGTATCCCACTCAGCTATTTTGGGCTTCTTTCAAATCACTTCACATGGCATCACAGGGCAGGGGGGTGGGAGGGGCAGTAGGAGAGTGTGGTTCAGATGGAAGGCTCTGATTTGGGCTCTGATTTGGATTCAGATGCCCCCACCCACACACGAAAAGACCACCCAACTTCTTGGTGTTTCATCTCATTCCCTCGTAGAAGATGAGGGTCACTCTTTTCACCTAGGTTTTGGGGTATATCAATGAGGGACAAACACAGGGTCATAAAGGAACTTAAGAACAGTTTTAGTGGGCAATTATGTCACCTGTTTCTCATAACCTACTAGGAATTCAACTAAGCTCTCAGTCTCCTGGCCACGCTCACACTTTGATATCCATGGGTAAGAGTTTCTTTCAAGGCACATAATACGTTACAAGATGTCAATAACAAATTGTGTATGAAGAAAAATGGAATGCTTTCAGAATATTTTCTTTTGGGCTTTGTCCATGATTAGATTATACTAAATTACAGAGTACGGATATCAGGCAATTACTCTTTGCTTTTAACTATTCAGTTTCATGACAAATCTGCATAACTCAGTAATTATAAAATCACATGGATGTGGTTACCGAGAAAATACCTCATCATCTCTATCTTCTGAAGCTAAGTTCAGGTTGTCCTATAATTACCTTTGGTCCTTTTAGGGGTAAAGTATATTCCAGAGGAAAGCAGGGTGATCTGTAACTCTCTAATTGCCAGTTATCTGGAGAGATTCTTGCAGATTTAGCTAGACAAACCAACAAGAAGTGAGGTGGGCTGGTGACCCTGCCTCACTGGTCACTGTGGGCCCTCTGCCTTGGATTCTGGCTGGTTTCTGATAAGTCCATTCGTAGCTTTAACCAAGAGTGTGTCTCCTTTTCCTTCTGTTTTCTGAAAACATGGACTTTTTCTCTTGGCTCAGCTCACAGAGTTCTCCCAATCGTGCTGCCCCTTCCTGATTTTAATTTCTTCCAGAGCTGTGCATGTCCTGTAAGCAATCAAGGCAGCTATCCTGGAAACTGGAGAAGCTCATTGGTGAAAAAGAATTATTTGAGCTGATTGTGAGAAATCGAACAGTGGCAGGAGAAGGAAAGAGAAAGAAGAAAGGAGCCGACACATCTAAACAGTTGGCAGAGATACTGTGCATACTGATGTAGGTGGTAGCTGGGGCAGAGGCTGCTGGGTGAAGGTAGGGGATGGGG